CGTGACTCGAGGTTCCACAAGTTTAGCTCCTCCGCAGGGTCGCTGGTGATGCCGCGACCCCACAATGCCTCGGCCCCTGGTCCAGGTCAAGGATTTGCCCCACGTTGAACGATGTGTCGGCCTCCAACTCGCTCTCGATGTGCATGTCGAGCTGGACAGACAAAAGTACGGTGACGATCTGTACCTGCTGCCGTCCAGCATGCTCTGCTAATGTCATCTGGCGCCGCCCCTTTCGCGTGGAGGCGCGCCTGTGGCCATGCTCGTACTCGTGTGCGGTGAGCTTGTGTCCAGCGTCCGCGTAGTGGCCTCCGTCACAGCGCCCTCACGGGCTCGATGAAGGTGGAGTCGATGCCGTAGATTTGGACTCACTGCTGCACCCACCCATCCTTCAGCTGCTTCTCTGTCGCCGTGCGCACGAGGTGGTACAGCTCCTGCAGCAACGTGTAGCGCAGGTCGTACACCTGCCCGTCGACCGTGATGCTGTGGGCGGCCTGCGTCATCCAGCCGAGCCGCCGCACAGTGGCCACGAAGGCTCCAGCAGGGCCATACACAATCTGCCAGGGCACCTTGCTCTTAGCCGCCTTCGTGACCCACGTCTTCCATGCGCTCTGCAGCCGGTCCATTAGCTGCTCGTCGGTGTTGGCATCCTGCCACGCGGTCGCCCAGGCGATGATGGGCCCGCTGTTCACGAGGCATCCTGGATCCACGTCGTCGCTCAGTAGCGTGAGATTGGTGGACCTGCCCTTGGTGCAGCCTGGCATGGCGGTGGCCACGCTCGTCCGCAGCTCCTGCAGCTTGGAGTCTGCCATGCCCACCGTCGCCGAGCCGTACAGCAGCGCTGGCACCTTGGCATGGCGCACCAGCTTCTGCGTTGCTCCTCCTGCCCTTCGCACTGCTGCAATCCGCGACTGCCTCGCCGCAAACTTCAGCGTGCGCTTATTGATGGCTCCAACTTGGCGTCGCCTGCCAGCCGCCGAGGTCACGCCAAGATGCTTCTCGTGCATGACGACGCGCACCCTCGGGCGTCTGGAGCTCGCGTTGATGATGTCGCCCAGCGCGGTGTTGGGGGTCAGGGTGACCGACTTGGCTTCCGCGCCGCTCGAGACTGCCATGCCCAGCTTTTTTTCGGACATGTAGATCACCACCGCGATGAGCTCGGGGTGAAAGTGCTGGACGAACTCCTTGTTGCCGTGCGTGGCCATGGCGATGTCGTCGAAGAATTAGCAGGTATCCGCCCAGGGAAACCGGTAGACCAGGTCGTCCAGCTCCAGGATGATCACCATCTTGAGGCAGAACGACGCGTAGCGGCTGCCGGCCACGATGCCCCGCCGCCACGCCTTGCCCGTCGCGTAGCACCCGTCGAAGACGATGCGCCGCACCATGCTGTAGATCCTCAGGACGATTCTTATGATGATGGGGTCGAAGCCCCGCCGCCTCGCCGCCGCCCAAACCTTCTCGTGAGTGACCCACTCGAAGCACTTGACCAGGTCGAAGTAGGTCACCGCGTACTCGTAGCCGTCGGCTCGCGCTGCCTCGTAGCACGGCGCCTGGAGCCAGGCTGCGCGCTCCGAAGAGCGCCCGCGCCGAGCCCAGTCATAGGCTCTCTGGTTGGCCGCCCCCCAGCGCCTGGCGTACGGGATGCGGATGGTCTCCCACGCGCGCGCCAGCTCGGGGACGAGGCGGAGGTTGCGGTAGCCGCCTGCAAGTTTCGCCATCAGGTAGAACAGGATGGTCGCCTATGCCTGCGGCCACGGCGCGCCTCGCTTCACTGCATTTAGCGCGCTTGCCACGCGTGCCGCTCCGTGAATTCCTCCACGTCTCCACTGGCGCGGGTGCCAGTCTGACTCGCCCAGGCCCGTCTCGGCGCGAAAGCGCCTGCACGCGTCCAGCACCTCCTTGGGCGTGATCTTCGGGGTTGCGCGCTCCTCGCGCTCCATGTCGCCCAGTGGCTGGCACCAGGGCGCGTCGGGGTCGTACTCGTTTGCCCAGACCTCCTTCCAGCCCGCCAGCGCCGCGTCCGCGGCGACCTGCGGGTGCGTGAGCTCGCGCTGGTCGTGGGTCTCGGTCGGCCTGAGAGGCGCCCAGGGCGCTGGCGGCTTGGTCCACATGTGGATGGCCCTTGTTCCCCCCTGGCTGTGCTGGATCAACCAGCGCCGCCAGCCTTGCGCCGCTGGCCGCCACACTCGTCGCCAAGTGCGGTTGCTGGCCACCGCCGGCAGCTTGGCGACTCACTCCATGCAGTCGACGCCCTGGGTGCCGACCTGCTTCGCGCCAAGCCAGGCGATGGTGCTGACCTGGTTGGCCCAGTCCACCGCCTGCCACGTCTGCCACTTCCCCGTCGAGGGGCGGCGCTCTCTTGCCGCTTCCGCCTCCGCCAACGGGCAGTCCTGCTCGACCGTGAGGACGGAGGCAGGAGTGGCCCGAGGAGTGGTACCTTCAGGAGGGCCTGCAGCGCCCTCGACTCGGTACGTGGCCATGTTGGTGGCGAACGTGCATTTGGAATGTTGCGGATATCCCGTCTGGTTCGAACCAGGCGGAATTGTAGTGTCGATGCGGTTCGCCTCGGCGTCGCCCTCGACATTCTCGCACTCGTCGTTGCCAACCTCGTGCTCGACTCCATGATCCACGCAGGCGGGCGCTTCCCCAGCAGCGGCGCGACAGCGGTCTTGTCGAGAACTCCGTTTGCATTCTGTTCGGCCCAGCGGATCGTCTCGGCCTTCCCGCTGTGCCGCCAGTTCCGCCCCGCTCCTGCCACTTGCCGCAGGCGTCGGCTGAGCCACTCGGCTGCCTCTGCCCATTGTTGCTCGCGCGTGGTCTCGGCAACCTTCGGCGGCTTGAGCTTGTCCCAGTAGTAGGTGGGGATATGCTGGTGGCCCTGGCGCCCGCGCAGCTCCATGCCCTCGAAGTTGCGGTGCCTGTTGAGGTGCTTCTCGTAGGTCGTCGCCAACTTGCTCCTCCTGGCTGCGGCGCCGCTGCGGGAGCGGTCTCGGCCAGGTGGTCGGCCCCGTCGCACAGCCAACAGGTAGCTGAAGGGGCCAGTGTTGAAGTGGACGTAGAATTTGGATCCATATGTCGGACTGCTTCATGTTGGTCAGCCTCAAGCAGACGGGCGAGCGCGGCGCCGCGTTGTAGTTCTCCTGGACCGTCGCGAAGATGGGCTTGTCCACCAACTCCTTCGCCGCGATGAAGCAGTCCCTGACGCGCGCTCACGCACGAGCCAAGCCGAGAGTCGAACGCGATGATCCCATTCATCTTGCTGAGCACCCCCGACTGCACGATTTCCGTGGGGCCCATGTTAGAGCCCCCCCCGAGGAGCCAGTAGCGCCCAGCAGCCTGGGCAGCGTTGGTGCAGTTTCTCAGGATCCGCGCGTTCCTCTCAGTCGTGCCTTCATTGACCCAGAGGTATGCCGAGCCGGCCGTGATCCCGTGCTTGGCGACCGCGTCGATCCACCCGTTGGCGAGTCTACCCTTAGACTCAGGCGGGGAGATGTCCCAGGAGTTGCCGACGCCTCTCGCGTACGTCATGCCCCTGCTCGTGACCGCGCAAATGAGGACGCCCGCGCTCATGCCGCCGATCTTCCTCACATTGGGAACGATGCCGAGCCCCCAGCCCTGCTTCTGCATCCTCTGCGTGAAGACCGAAATAGCGTGGTCAGTGGCCTGCAGCTCCTGCGCCAAAATCACAGGCGGCGCGCTGCTGCAGTACCGTGTATACTTCTTCACCCTCTCTAGCGTGCGAATGGAGTTCGCGCTGACGGTGTAGAACTCCTGCCCGATGGAAGCTTCGTCAGGAAGACGACCTCCCTGTCCACGTGGAATTGGAGACGGTGGGCCTATGGCCAGGGTCCACGGCGCTGACGAGAGACACGACACTGCCAGCATGACGCTCCACCTGATCAGCCGTGCAGCCCCCGCCTGACATGATTTGCTTGACCTGGTCCAGGGTGGAGCCCGCTGGGAAGTCGAGCAGCTCGTGCTGGATCTCCTCTTCGGCGCGCCGCTTGCTGCAGCGCCCCTTGCCGTTCCCTTCTTCTCCACGCTCTCGCTCTGCAGCCGCTTCCTTATTTGCCGCTGCCTTCGCCTCTACCTCTGCTGCTGCCTTTGCCGTGTGCTCGTCCTCTGCCTTCTTCTGGCTGGTGGCGTGGTTGGGCGCGTCCTGCAGCTTCGGATCCAGTGGGGCTCCGTCTCGCCCTCGCAAGCACTTGGCGGCCTGCTCGAGGAAGGCGACCGCGGCTCCCATCCCTGCCGGGGCTTTGGCACACTGAGCTCGTTGATGCGCGCCTGCAGCTTGGCCAACCGTTCGTTGTGCTTGGCCAAAATCGCTTTCTCCTTCTCCAGCTTCTCCTGGACCTCAGCAAGTGCCTTCTCCTGCTTGGCCACGCGCTCCTGAGCGCGATCCCTCTGGTTCTCGCACTTGTTTTTCTCGCGCACAACCGTGCACTCCGAGAAGCACCGCGGTACTTCGCTGTCTGCGTCGACAGTCGCTGTCTGCGTCGACAGTCGCCGCCCGCTTCTGCACCAACTTGATGTTGTCCGCCACCAGCGGGGCGAGGTCTGGGTCCTCGGCCTGCTTCCGCATCTCCTGGAGGTGTCCTCTGAGCTTGCGGAGCTTAGCCTTGGCTGCGTCCTCGCTCTCCGTGGGGGCGGTACTCGTGGCCGTGCTGGTGGCGCCTCCTGACGTCGCGCCGTCCTTTGCGCCCCAGCACTTCCACTTGAAATCGTAGCTTGCCCCGTTCTTCGACTTACAAACGGCGCAAGTCCACCCATGACGCGATTGGGCTCGTGGGGCCATCCAGCCCGCAAGCGCAGTGCCACTTCGAAGTTGGCGCTCGCTGACACTGCGCGCCGCCTCTCTGCTGGCAAAAGGCGGGCTCGGCGCGAAATGGCTGAGGAGGAGGAGGAGGAGGAGGAGAAGAGGAGGAGGACTAGAGGAGGAGGAGGGGGGGGGGGGAGGAGGAGTTTCACCCTCTGGAATGGTCAGGGCTATCGCTGCCCGCCAGGAGCAGCCGAAGCCTTCCGCCGGAGCCGGCGCGCCTTCGCCTTGGCGCGGCGGGGCCGCTGGAGGCGGTCACCTGGCATCGAGCGGACCTCCACCCAGACTGCTCCTCCTCCTCCTCCTCCTCCTCCTCCTCCTCCTCCTCCTCCTCCTCCTCCTCCTCCTCTTCCCCCCCTGGGGCTCCTCCTCCCCCCCCGGGGCCAGACGAGAGGGGGGGGGGGTGATAGGAGGGGGTGCGAAATCTGATGCACGCAGCTGGTTTCAGCTCCACCGAGGGGCCTATTCCTCGACACATGGCCGCCTCCAGCGCCGGGAGGCGCCGGGAAAAGCAGCTACGTGAGCTGATTATCAAGTCCCCCCCTCTGCTAGCCCCCCTCTCGCCCGGCCCAGTCCAGCCAGACAAGTCGACTCAGAAATCTGCACAGATTCGATCGACATCGGCACCCGTCGGCCACGTGCAGAGGGGGAGGGGGGAAGGCTTTGTAGAAGCACCCGTGCTTCGTAGAAGGCGCGCGCTTTCTACTAAGAAGCAGCCTCCCCCCTCCCCTTACCCCCCTGTGGGCGCCGCCAAGCTCGAGTGCGGCGGTGCAGTCTCCAGTCGGTTCGGCTAATCGACGTGCGCCTCGCCAGATGCAGTTGGTCGTTTTCGGGCGTCGCCTAGCTCCCCCCGCCGCTGGGGTCCGCTCGGACGGCGGTGCAATGCGCATGCTGAGTGCCCCCGGCAGCTTCAGTAAAGGGCGTTTCGCTAAAGGGGTGTCTGTCCACCCCCGAGGTCGGGGGGATCGAGGTTCGACTTGGCATCGCTCGGACGTGTGCGTCTTTCCCCACGAGGACTATCGAGCAACAAAAATAAGACACGCACGAGACCGAGAAAGGCATGTGGAATGGACGTCCGAGCGATGGCCAGTCGAGGATCGAGGATCGAAGATCGAGGTTCGAGGATCGAGGTTCGAGGTTCGAGGTTCGAGGATCGAGGTTCCCAGAGATCCAGGGCACTGAACAATCAAGAGGCTGAGTTTTCCTCACAGCGCTCGGCCTCTGAGAGGCCTGCGGTCCGTCCCCCCCGGGGCCGTCGGAACACGGCTCGGGGGATAACCAGCCTACCCCTTGAGGAAAGCGTCGGGACTTCCGGGGAGCCCGTCTTGGAAAAACCAGGGCACCGCATAGCTGGGATGATCAGGACACCTGGGGGGGGGACACAGCTGCACTTCAGGGGCCCCAAGGAGCCCCAGAGTGCTCCTTCAGTGGCCCCAAGGGGCTCCTCTTCTGCAACCCCCGCTGCCCCCCATTTGGCGGCGCTCGGACGTGTGCATGCTTCCTCGGCGGGGGCCATGGAGGAGCATCCTGGATCATCCATCTGGCAGAACGGGCACGCACGGTACCGACAAGTGCAGGAAGGAATGGGCGCCCGAGCGATGGCAAGGTGCCCGGGATGAGGTTCCAGGCTTCTTCTCTGGACGTCTGTGGTCATCCTGGGGCCCGCTCGGGGCCGCGGCTGGCCCCGCCTCGACATCCTGGCCCGAGCGCACCCCAGAGGAGGAGGAGGAGGAGGAGGAGGAGGAGGAGGAGGAGGAGGAGGAGGAGGAGGAGGAGGAGGGAAGAGGTCCTCGCCTCGAGGTCTCCGGGCGTTCGGGGTCCGAGGTCTTCGGGCGCTGCCGCCGGCTCTCGGCGGCCTCCGGGCCTCGGGGCGCCCGGCGCTCTCGCCGAGAGGTCGTTCCGGGGGGGGGTGCCCCGGGGGCGTGCCGAAGGGCCGCCGGAGAGCTGCGTTCTGCAGCGGCAGGAAGGGGGGGATGGGCTCAGGCTCGGCATCGCTCGGACGTGTGCATGTTTCCTTCGGCGAGGGCCGATCGAGGATCATCCTGGAGCAGTTGGCGACAACGCCACGCACGAAACCGAACAAAAAGCGCAGGGAGTGGGCGTCCGAGCGATGGCCAGCAGGGGGGTGATGCATCGGCCCTCAGTCGCCCACCTATCGCCGATATTGTCCAACCCACGAAGGATTGCAAAAAAACCCGAAGGTTTGCAAAAAAACCCAGGATTGCAAAAAAAAAACCAAGGATTGCAAAAAAAAAAACAGGATTGCAAGGTTTTTTCTGCAATCCTGGATCGCAAGAAGTCATTTCGAGCACCCCAGGAAGTACAGTCGGGGCGCTGAAGAAGGGACCCTTCTCGTTGGCGAGGGGCTCGGTGTTCCTTGATTGTTTTGCAGTTCGCGTGGGGGGTCCATGGGAAATCGAAGTTTAACTTATGGGAAAAAGGGGCCTCGTTCCTTATTTAGGGTCCCTTGGGTCAACGCCCCGACTGTATCGAAACGGTGTCTGCCCGATACGTCGGTGGAGGCCCCGGAGGGGCGACATTCTTAGGAAAGTTGTCTAGTGTCGGGCCCCGGGAGGCGATGCTCTTTCAACACTTCGCCAGCGCTTCGGGCAGAGACTGTTTTGGTATCTCCCTGGGTGCTCGAAACGATTTGTTGGAGGTGGCCCTTAAGCAGGATGGGAACATCACAAGGATAGGGGCCTGAAAGCCCACCCAGCCCAGGAACGCGCGGATTTGCTACAGGGGACCCATCGCCGATCTGTCGGCGATGCATCGCCGGTTGCGGGTCGCCGTAGCCTCCCCCCTGAGCCCGTATCGTCTCCCCGCAGGCGGGGCCGCCCGAGGCAGGGTTGCCGGAGGCGGCTGCGCGCAAGCGAGCGGCTCTTCGCAGGGGGTGGCCTCTGGAGCGCGGCTGTTTCACTGGCAGCCTCGCGCCCCGAGAGCAGAGCACTGCAGGACGTTGCTGCCTTCGATACGCCCGTTTTGGAACGCAACACGTACCGTGCTTACAATGCCCGTGTCAATACGTTGCATGTTTGCTCAGCGTATTGGCCCACGTTGTGCCGAACTCATCGCGTCGGAACCTACGTGTTCAGTCTACGTGTTGGGTTTCGGATCAATACGCCACGCGTTGCGGGTTGCGTATCGGGGCAGCTAAGTTGCGGGAGTTCTTGGTAGTTGTCGCCCTCTGGGGGCCTTTGCTGGGGTCCCGGGCAGGGCTCCAGAGTTGGTTTTCGCATATCCCATGCAGTGCTTGCACTTGGGTTTCTTGCTGCTCCTAAGAGGGACTGAGCATGGCTGGCGGTCTGGCGGCCACGTTGCCGCCGTCGCCGCCCCTTCGCCGCCCGTCGTCTGGGCCTGTCTGTCATCGGTCTGGCGGCTACGTCGGCGCCGTCGACGCCCCGTCGCCGCCCGTCGTCAGGGCCTGTCTGTCGTCCTGGCGGCTGTGTTGGCCCTGTCGCCAGCCCGTCGCCGCCCCGTCGCCGCCCGCACCTGGGCCTGTCTGTCGATCTGGCGGCTGTGCTGTCGTCGTTGCCGCCCCGACATAGATTTTCCTTTCTATCAACAGAATAGACTCTACCCCCCCCGGCGTTATCACTCCCCCGCGTCCTCTGTAAATCATGGATGATTCTGACCACATGTCCATCTTAAATCTGAAATCACTATGTCCCAGGCCAACCGGGTTCCCCACCCCTGAGGTTCCCTTGTAAAAAACATTATGCGGTGACATTTTTTGTTCTAACATAACACTTGTTCACGAATCCTTTCTGCAAAAAATGGGACGAAGTGCACACGCGCGCGTCGTCGCGCGCGCATACCGAAATCCTTCAAAAACCTTTGGTGCCGGAAGGATTTCGCAATCGAGTTTCCAAAACACAAAAACAGGGTTTCGCAACACTGATTTGCTAAAAAACGCTTACGCGCGAGCTCTTGCGAAATCTTAAGAACACCATAGGTTTTTCAAGATTTTTGCAACATGCTACCAAACGGGCTGCGCGCGCATGTCGAAATCTGTCGAACGCCCTTGCGCGTGTGCCGTCGCGGGAATCCTCTGCAAGAAATGAGACGAAGTGCAGACGCGCGCGTCGTCGCGCGCGTATGCCGAAATCCTTCAAAACCCATCGGTTTCGGAAGGATTTCAAAATCGTGTGCCCAAAAAACCTACGAAAACAAACGGTTTCGCAACACGGATTTTCAACAAAAGCGAGCACGCGCGCTCTTGCGTCGTCGTCGTCGTCGTCGTCGCCGCCCTCCCTCCTCCCGCGTTGTCTTCGTCGTCGCCTACGTCGTCCTCTGTCTTTCCTCGTGTTCGTCGTCGTCGTCCTCTTTGGCGTCGTGGTCGTTTCCGTCGTCGTTGTCGCTGTGGTCGTCCTTGTTCCTCCTCCCTCGTCGTCGTCGTCGTCCGTCGTCAGCGTCTCGTCGTTGTCCCTCCTATTTCGTCGCCGTCGTCGTCGTCATCGTTGTCGTCGTCGTCGTCGTCGTCGTCGTCTTCCCTCCTCCCTCGTCGTAGTCGTCGTCAGAGTCGCCGTCCTTCCTCCTTCTTCGTCGTTCGCGTCGTCGCCGTCTCCCTCCTCCCTCGTCGTTGTCGTGGTTGTCGTCGTTGTCGCCGTCGTCGTCCTCCCTCCTCCCTCGTCGTCGTCTGCTTTGGCGACGTCGTCGTCGTCTTCGTCGTCGGCGTCGGCGTCGTCGTCGTCTTCGTCGTCTTCGACGTCGGCGTCGTCATCGTCGCCGCCGTCGTCGTCGTCGTCGTCGGCGTCGTTGACATCGTCGTCGTCGTCGGTGTCGTCGTTGTCGTCGTCGTCGGCGTCGTCATCGTCGTCGTCGTTGTCATCGTCGTCGTCGTCGTCGGCGTCGGCGTCGGCGTCGTCGTCAGTGTCGTCGTCGTCGTCGTCGTTGTCGGCGTCGTCGGAGTCGTTGGAGACGTCGTAGGTGTCGTCGTAGTCGTTGTCGGCGGCGTCGTCGTTGTCGTTGTCGCTGTCGTCGTTGGCGTCGCTGTCGTTGCCAAGTGCCATTTGGTACCCACAGTCACGGTCTTGAGAGATTTTGCAAACCAAGTTGCGGGTGGGTGGGTGGGATGATTGCGCGAGCAGTGGAGTTGACAACTTCAAGTTCGGCAAGTGAACTGCACAGCATAGAATCACCACTCTCCCGCCCCAGAATTATTGACACCCCTTGGGGTAGTGAAGTTTTCTTATGATTATGCCCCATCGTTCATATTAATTTTGATTTCATACCATCTCAGGGGGACCCGGCTTCGTCCCCCCCGCTTCATCCTTGCCAAAGTACACTATGCGCGCACGCCCGTTCATTTTTTCCTAATTCCAAAAAAGCATACGTGTTCAACAATCTTCTGCACAGACTTAGACAAACTCGACGCGCGCGTCGTCGTCCGCACATACAGACACTCTTCAAAAACGCTTGGGCTTGTATGGGTAAAGCAAATATTTCCGAACACATGAACAAGTCGTATTGGAACTTAATGTTTTCATGAAGCCCAAAAGATGCGCGCGCGCGATCTTGCGAATTTTCAAAAAAAAAAAAAACAGTGTTTTGTTCAACGTGTCCATCCAATGCGACCAAACGGACCTCTCGCGCGCGCTTGTCGAAATCATTCGAACGCCGTTGCGCGCTCGCTAGGGGCGCACGTTCCATGTCAATAAGATGCCGTGCGGGCCAGTCGCGCCCGTCGGCCTCGCGCGCACGTCGAAATCCTTCCAAGACTATCATCACCGACACGTGGATGCCATCGTCGTCATCTGCTTGGTCAGCGTCGGTGCCCTCGTTGGCCTCGCCGTCGTCATCGTCATCATCGTCACCAGAGTCGCTACTATCATTATCAAGGGCTCCCTCGAGGGCGCGAAGTTGTTCGCGCTTCGCGCTTCGCGGTCCTCGTTCCTTCTCCCCCTCCTCCTCGTCCTCCTATTCTCCCTTTGGGAGGGCGGCGCGAGAGCGCGAAGTTATTCGCGCTTCGCGCAGCGCGAAGCGCGAAGTTGGGAGCCCTAGCATTATCGTGTCTGCCGTTGTCGACCGCGCCCGCCCGAGTCACCAACTTGCAGTGAAGTGTTCCCGCATCAGCGCGGCTTGCGAGACGCGATGGGAAGCCCTCACCGGGCATCGCCCCCGCGGCCGCGCTGGTCGCGCCAGGCTAGTTGACCGCTCTGCTCGCGAGCCTGCGTTTGCCAGCGAGGCCGCAGCGATGCGCCAGACAACGCTTAACGGTCATCGCAATCGCCGCCGCATGTGTTTTGCAAACCAAGTTGCGACTGGTTTGGGTGGGACGATTGCGCGAGCAGTGGATTTGACAACTCATTGCGAACAGAAGGTACCTGCACCACACCGCATACATTGCATAACATAGATTGCACAACATAGTTTGTACCACGCATATTGCACCACATAGATTGCGAAGCATCGAGCGAACCACAGATATTGCACCACATGTGATGCACTGTGTAGATTTCACAACACAGATGGCTCAGCGTATGCATAATTGTATAAATGTATGTATGTATGCATGTATGTATGTACATACGTGATGTGTGTATGGATTGCTCCACATGTATTGTGCAGCATAACTTGTTCCCACACGTATTACACAGCATCGATTGCACAAGCTAGCTTGCACCACGTATATGGTACAACATGTGTTGCCCCACACAAATCGCACACCATATATTGCTAGAGACACATTGGTTGGGGTCCACGCGGGCTGCCACTTGAGACGTTAGAAGAAAACGAACGCACGGCGACAGATTTCTGGGTTGGGGCGCGGGGCGCTGCTATCGCATGGCGCGCAGTCACCGGCAGGCTGCGAAACAAAGGCCATTCTTTGCTGCCCAAAAGGGTCACTCTCGCGCGCAGCCTGCGGAGGCGGCGGCGCCAGATCCGCGGGGGGCGGACATCTGGAACTCGAGCGTGGCCTGGAGCACCGTGCGGAGCTACCACCCCGCCGGCGTCATCTCCCACATCGGCGGCGGGAGGGTGGCCTGGCATAACGCCTCGTTCCTGAGCCTGAACGCGATCTACGTGCTGGCCGCCGTCGCCTACCCTGCCTTCCTGCTGCTCGCCCTCCTGGTGGCGAGCGTGCTGCTCGGCCTCTGCCTGAAGGGCCCCGAGGGTGCGGAGGAGCCCCCCGCCAGGTCCTCGTGGGAGGACCCTCTCTGCAGGCCGCCTACGGCCGACGCGGAGGCCTTCACAGGCCGCCACGGCGCAAACGGGCCCCGAGGGAAGCAGACCCCGTGGTCCGTCGCCTTGGCATCGCTCGGACGTGTGCACTTTTTTCCTTCGGCGAGGACAATCGAGGAGCATCCTTGAGCATTTGGCGAAAAAGCCACGCACGAAACCGAAAAAAGCACAGGGAGTGGACGTCCGAGCGATGGCCAGTGTGGTCCGTCGCCAGCCTCGGGCTCTCGGGGCCCGGGGCTTGCAGGACACGACTCGGGATGCAGACTTGGGTCCTGGCGGAAGGCCCTGGGGCCCGGGACCCGCCTTCCTGCATGCCGAGCGCAGGCCTCTCGCTGGGAGCCTACGCCTGCTGGGCCGCGCTCTGCGGCGCGATCCCCGCGCTGCTCGTCTTCGGCACCCCCGTGCTCCTGGTGGCCATGTCCTACCAGCACCCGCAGGAGGTCTTCGCCGTGCTCGCCATCCTCTCCTCCTGCTTCATCTTCCACGGCGGCCTCCACATGCTGGTCTTCGCCGGCGCCGGCGTGGCGCGCATGCGGCGCGCCCTGGCGTCGCCGGGCGCCGACTGGGAGGGCGGGGACGCGGCCACGCACTGGGTGCTGCTGCCGCAGTACCGCGAGGACGTCGAGGTCGTGTCCGCCGCCCTCGCGTCCGTCGCGCGCAGCCGCGTCGCGCGCCAGAGGATCTGCGTGCTGCTGGCGATGGAGGGCTCCGAGCCAGAGGCCCGCTGGAAGGCGGAGGAGCTCCAGCGCCGCTTCGCCGGCCAGTTCCTGGAGCAAGTGACCTCAGATCAGACCTGAGCGTCGCAATCTTTTCACAGAGGGCGCTGTCGCTCAGGATCGGCCCCCAGGGCCATCACAGATTGATCCGGCTCGAAAACATGCTGCAGAAAGATGTGGTCTACGAGGCTCCGGTCGTGTTGTTTCTCAAGCAGTGGCGAAGCGTCCTGGCTCGCCTATAGCCCTACCAAACAATGTTCTAAGAACCCTTTGTGGTTCCCACGAAATGTTCTTAGAACAGTTCTGGCTGGGACTGTCTCGTTTTAACACATCGAGCTCACGTTCTGAGAACATTGCTTCTGTTCTTAGAACAGTTTCAGGTTCTGAGAACGTGTCGTGGTATGACTCCAGGAGCGCCGGGACGGTCGGTCCCTGCTCGAGTTTCGCGCCGCTGCAGTTTGTTCGCAGCGCCGGCCCTCGGGAGACGTACGTCGCGGCGGAAGGTTGCCGGGCGTGCTCGCAGCTGCTTTGGGGAGTTTCCCCCCGCCTCGGGGCGCTGTCCAGCAGCGGCGCCTCGCCCAGGGCGTGCTACAGCTGTGGAAGTCGACTACAATGGAGAGGAAGCATGCTGCCAGATAATTTTCGGGGGTGGACAGAACCCCCAACAGGGACACGTCGATTAGTGAATTGTCCGTTTGCGATTCTCGAGAGGGCGCCGTGGCCGTTATTTTCCAGGCTTGCGCCCGCCAGGTTTGGGCCTCAGGTCGTTTTCACTAAACCACGTTTTAGTAAAGGGGGGTCTGTCCATCCCCGAAATTTCCAGATGTCCAGAACATGTTTCAAACATGTCTTAAACATGTAACAAGATGGTGGAAACGTTTTCAGAACCTGTTTTTACACAGTTTAAGCACATCTTGGATTCAATGCTAGGGTTGTTAGGGTGACCATTGTCATGGCATCAAGACTGCTACAGGGGTGCCGGGGGTCGGGCCCGAACGGCCGACCAGGGCCCGAGTGGGGCCCGAAGAACAGACAGACCACCTCGATGCTTGGGCAGCTATATTCAAGTCGGGCCCGTCCCTCGACAGGAGGAGCATTCAAAAATAGTCCAGAATCGCCGGGGGGCGATGTCGTTCGTACTTCTGGGCAGTTCTTAACGTTTTCGGCTGTTTTTGTTTATGTTGCGTCCGAAACCCCCTGTAGGGGGACACGCCCGACTCAAAACTATATTCGAGAGGGGAGGAACCACCCCGGCCCCTATAACTGGCGTTTACTACACGGCCCTGGGCGTTTGCTGAACAGCTCTGCCCTGCTCGATGCCTTCCCTGGGTGCGTTTACTAGGAGGCTTCGCTTGTCGAGGCGTGTACCCTGAGGGAGGCTTATATTTAGAGAGAGAGGGAGAGAGAGAGACAGACAGATATCGATTCTCCCCTCAGGTTCCTGGAGCTGCGCGCCACGTTCCACCCGGCGGGCCTGCCGAACCACCCGCCTGGCAAGGCGAGCAACGTCTCGTGGGCGTTCGAGGTCCTGCGCCTGGGCCTCGCGGCGGCCCCTGGCGCGGCGCGCGAGGAAGCCACCGGCGGCGAGGCGTGGGCGGGAGGCACGGACCTGGACGGCACGATAGTCACCGTCTGCGACGCCGACTCCGAGTTCCACCCGCGCTACTTCGAGGCCGTCTCTGCGATGTTCGCCGGCGCCGGCGAGGCCGACCGCCACAGCCGCATTTGGCAGGCCCCGACGGAGAACAGCAGTGGATCGGCATAGACTCCCGGAGGTTCGCGCGGGTCTCTTGGATCGCGGCGCTGGTATCCAGCGCAGATCCAGAGATCTGCGCGGGCCGTCGTCAGTTAATGTTTCTGTAGATTCACTGTCCTCTGAGGCCCCGATGCTCCACCTGAAGAACTACCATAGCGTGCCCGGGCTCGTGGCAGTGGGCGCCCTGTTCACGAGCATGGCGGAGCTCGCCTCGCTCTCAGACCCCAACGCGGTCAGGCTCCCCTACTCCACCTACTCCTTGTCTCTCACCCTCGCCCGCCGCGTGGGCGGCTGGGACCCGGACTTCGGAGGGACAAACACAGTAGTAGCGTTCGGAGGTCCCTGCTGATTCCTTGGACAGCCCCAGTACGGCGCCTCCGCCGCCGCCCCTGGTGCGCACTCCGCGCGCGCCAGGTTATGAACAATTATAGAAACGAGCACAATTATAAATGAGCACGATTAGAAACGAACGATGTGTATGGGTACTTTATTAGTAAATTTAATGGGTTTTAGGGTTTTAACACATGGTCGCAGCCACGCAGAGGGCGTGCGTAGCGACGCCCCAAATGCTCGGTCTCCAGTACTTTTACGTGTCGGCGCCCCCGCAGGCACGCAGAGGGCACGCCTGGCGACGGGGGGCGTCGCCACGCAGAGCTTCCAAAGACCACATATTTTGAAAACCAATTGTTTCCACTACCAGAGTATTGCATGCTCTTCTTTGACTCCAGGAGTGGATCGCCGAGGACTACCACATGGGCCTCAAGTGCCTCCTGCTCTCCCGGGCTGCCATCTCGGTGGAGCCCGTGCTCCTCCCGACGGTGAGCTACATGGTGGAAGAGGAGACCCCGCGGGGCACCCGAGCGGCGCGGTGACCAAGCCGCGCCCTGAGAACTGGGCGCTGCAGTCTTGTCGCGCTGGGCGTTCGCGCCCGGCGTCGGGCCCCCGGACCATCACAGCTCGATCCGGCGAAAAAAAAAAATACAGCGGCAGGACGAGGTCCGAGGCTGCGGTCGTGATCTTGGGCGATGTTGCGCTGTTCCCCGAACGGGGTGCTGTTGTGGTAGGAGCTAGTTCCAGCCGAGGGACGCGAAGCAGAGACATCCATCCTCAACAAAAATGGCCCGGACCGTTTCGCCGAAGACATCCTCACTACTCTCGCTTCTGAGTTGGCCGGGATTGGTCGTTCCACCTGAGGTATTTTTATAATTCTGAGCTCCGAGACGCCGCGCGCGGGATGGTCCGGCGCGTCCTTTGCGACTCTAGGCTCCGAAATGTTGCGCGAGAGGTGGTCTGGCGCGTTGTGCGTGAGACCTTCACAATTCTGGGCTCCGAGATGCCGCGAGCGAAGTGGTCCGGTGCGTTTCGCGTGAGACATCCTCGAAATTCTGAGCTCCTAGATGCTGGCGCGAAGGGGTCCGACACGTTTCGCCTGAGGCATCCTCGCATCTCTAGTCGTCGAGGGGCCGCGCGAGAGGTGGTCCGGCGCGTTTCTCATGAGACATCGTCGCAATGCTTGGCTTTGAGATGAAGCGCGCGGGGTGGTCCGGCGCGTTTCGCCTTAGACATCCCTGCAATTCTGATCTCTGACATGCCGCGTGAGAGGTGGTCTGGTCCGTTTCGCTCGAAAGATCTCCACGAATCTGGATTCTGAGATGCCGCGCGCGAGGTGGTTCAACCCATTTCGCCTGAGACATCGTCGCGATTCTGGGCTCCGAGATGTCGCGCGCGCCTGAGACATCCTCGCATCTCTGGGCTCCAAGACTCGCGAGACGTGGTCCGTCGTGCTTCGCCTCAGACATCCTCGCGCTTCAGCGCTCCGAGCTGCCGCGCGCGAGGTGGTTCGGCGCGTCTCGTCTGAGAGATTCTCGCAACTCTGATCTCCGAGATGCCGCGCGCGGGCGCGTTTTGCCCGAGACATCCTCGGAATTCTGGGCTCCGAGATGCCGCTCGAGAGGTGGTCGGGCGCGTTGCGCCTGAGACATCCGAGCTGCCGCGCGAGAGGTGGTATGGCGCGTTTCGCCTGAGACTTCATCACAGCTCTGATCTCCAAGACGCCGCACGCGAGGTGGTCCAGCGCGTTTCGCCTGGGACGCCCTCGCAGCTCTGGGCTCCGAGATGCTGCGCGCGAGATGGCATGGCCCGTTTCGCCTGAGACGTCCTCGCGGCTCTGGGCTTCGACATGCCGCGCGAGAGGATGTTCGGGCCGTGTTTCTCCACAATATCCTCACAACTCTGGGCTCTGAGATATGCGCGAGGTGGTCCAGCCTTTGTGGGCCCCGGAAACGGCAGGGCCGTTTTTTCACCGTTTCCAGAAAAATGTCCCTTGAAAATGGAAACGGTAAAAAAACGGCGACCGGAAACGGCAAAAAAACAGCTCCAGGATTGGAACCAGAGCCGGAACCGGTCAAAAAACGGCAACGGAAGTGGTAACAAAAACGGCGTCGGAACCGGCAAAATAACGGCAAAACGGAACCGGTAAAAAAACGGCCTTGTCGTTTCCAGGGCCCATTAAGGGTCCAGCGCGTTTCGCCTGAGACATCCTCGCAGCTTTGGTTTCCTGCAACACAAACACGCACACAACAAACACACACACACACACGCGCACACACAATACACGCACCACGACACAACATAGCACAGCATAACACGAACAACAGCACAACACGCACATCAAAACAGTAGAAGGCACATTACCACAAGATACCCACAAGCGCGCGCGAATGCCATCACGCAGACGCCGTCCGTCCACTGGCACGCCGGACGGCCAGGCCTACTGTAGGCCACTTGACCAGGCTCACTTGGCCGAATCGACTAATGGTACACGCGACAGACGATGCCTGGCAGTTGATTTGCGACCTTCTCGATGAGTCTTCGCCTTTGCTTGCCGCGCGCGAGGTAATTAGTCTGGCGCGTTTCGCCTGAGACATCCTCGCAATTCTGGGCTCCGAGATGCTGCTCGCGAGGTGGTCCGGCGCGTTTCGCCTGATCCATTCTCGAAATTCTGGGTTCCGAGATGGGGGAGAGAGGAGGGAGGAGGGAGGAGGGGTCAGACCCAAACGATCTATTTGATTACGTTTCTGTTGTCGAACTGTGCTTCGAGAGGGTCTGGGCGCCGCCTGGTCCATCCTCGCATGCCGTGCGACAGGTGGTCCTGCGCGTTTCGCCCGAGACATGCCCTCTGAGACGAGGGCGAGTTGAGACAACTGTAGTTGGCCTTCGGGGGGCCCCCTCGCTGCCAAAGGTGGACGCAGCTCGGACCACTGGTGCGTTGGGACCCCGGGAGGGGTCCTGGGACCGATCTGGAGCTGCTGCTGTCTCATTTCGCCCTGCCCCGAGGCTCGGCCTCCGAGGATGTCTCGGGCGACGTGGGCCTCCAGGGTCCCGAAACCGTGCGATGGCGGACCGTGCGGCGAGGTCTCTTTCATGGGCCTGTTTTCCACCACCACCACCATAAGTTGGAGGGGCGAAGGGGTGGAGGACGAGGAGGATGACGAGGAGGAGGAGGAGGAGGAGGAGGAGGAGGAGGAGGAAGAGGAGGACCCCTTCCCCCTCCTGCTTATAGTGGCGGTGGTGGAAAACAATCCCACCAGTCTTGGGATTCCGAGGTCACTGCACTGGCCGTCGCCGCACGGTTGTCTGGGCTTCCCGCGAGGAGACCTGGCTGGGCACATTGTGGGCGCGCTGGGTCCAGGCCCAGCGGCACGCCCTGGGGTTTTCGGACGTCACGTACTTCTTCCGCACCCTGCCCCTGGTCCTGAGTCACGCGGCGTCCCAGGAGCTCCGGGGCAACGACAGGGGGGGATAGGCATAGGGGGGGACGCATCGACCCCCAGACGCCCAGTGATCGCCGATAGGGGTCTGGTAGCCCCCTACCCGCCCAGGAAGGTGCGGATTCACCATCGGGGGCCCATCGCCGATCCGTCGGCCATGCATCGCCGATTCCAGGTCGGCGCATCCCCCCCTATGCCAGTCCCCCCCTGTCGTTGCCCCCAAGGAGCCCGGGCACGAGAGCATGAGCAGGTTCTGGGCGCTTGTCTCGCAGGGGCTCGGGGTGCTCATCAAGCTGACCAACATCCACGCCCTCGTCGGGGTGCTGTCCACGTACGGCGCCATCCAGTCGGCGATGCGCACCGTGATGCGCCTCGCCTTCGAGGAGGACCGGCACCTGGTGTTCCTCTTCGACAGCGCGTCCTTCTGCACCGTGCTGCTGGCGATCGCGGGGCTCCTCTTCACCGCCGCGCTCTCCGCGCTCTTCGTGTGCCTCTACGCCCTCGTGCGGGACCGGCTCGAGGGCGCGACCGCGCGGCACCCGCTGTGGCACTTCTGCCGCGTGGCCGCCCTCGTGTTCGCCTGCGGCCCCTCGGCGGGCGCCAACCAGATTCGGCCGCGCGCAGAGGGGGGTGGGGTGAAGGAGGGCAGGGGGGAAGGCTTCTTGCAGAAGCGCTCCCCTGCTTCTCAGGGCCTTGTCTGCAGATGTGAGGCCCGCGCCTTCTGCGAGGCAGCCCCCCGAGGCGCCTTCCCCCCTGCCCCTGCGTCCCTCTGCGCGCCGCCGGCACGCACCGCACCCCACGCCGATCCTGGCCAGGCCCACCTCGGGCCCAGGATCGGTATGTACGCCACCTTTCCCGAGCCAGGAGGGCGTACACACCGATCCCGGGACCTGGATGAGCCTGGCCAGGATCGGTGCAGGCGTATGCTGTCGGGAACTTTGGCTCAGCGTGTCGCCGCCCCCGCTTCTGGCCCACCACGCGTCGGCGCGACGCGCTATCCACTCTGCGGCCCCCAGGCGTCCACGTGCCAGCGTTTCTGCCCTCCCGCCCCGCGGAGCGGCGCGAGGTGCAATCCGCTTGCAGGGCATAGCGCCTCGCCGGGGCCGCCGCCGCGACACGCTAAGCAAGAGTTCCTGACCGTAGTTGGTGTCTTCCTCCTAGAGGCCCCGTCTACTTCCTGGCCCTCGCCCTTTGCACCTGGCGCGCGGCGGCGCTGGTGCTGCTCCGACAGCCTCTCGAGTACCAGGCGCCCTCGGCGAAACGACGGAACTCGGCCGCGTCGGCGGCCGCGGCGACAGCGCCGCGCCAGCGACGGCGGCGGCGGCCGCGCGCCACCATCGACGGCCGCGGCGGCGGCGACGGCGGCCGCGGCGACGACGGCCGCCGCGACGGTGGCGCGCCAGCGACGGCGGCGCGGCCACGGCACGGCCGCGGCGGCGGCGACGGCGGTGGCGACCCCAGGCAATCGACGTCGTGATTGTTTCGCAGCGTGGCTTACCCGGGGACCGGCCCCTCCTCTGGAGAGTCGCGTTTGCTGGCGGCCCCGGCACCTGACAAGGGAGCGCCCAAAGGCCAGGAAGAGGCCAGAAGCCCTCCGTCGCGATTGTCCCACGGCGCGCGGGGACGCCAGGGCGCGCCAGCGACGACGGCAGCGGCGGCAGGTGGCGCCGAAGCCGCCGCCCCTCGCAGCCGCCGCAGCGCCCGAGCGGGCTGCCGGGCCCGAGCGCTGCGGCCGCTGACGGGGCGCCGCGGGCCGCGCCGCGCAGCAGGCCGCCGCGGGCGCGGCGGCGGCGCCGCGGCGGGCTGCGCCGCGGCCGCGGCAGGCGCACGCGGCGCGGCGGCCGCCGCCGCGGCAGGGCTGCGCCGCGGCCGCTGCGGCGGCGCCTTGCCGCGGCCGCCGCGCCGCGGCCGCCGGGCCCGTCTGCGGCGGGCGCGCGCGGCGGGCGCTGCGTTCGCGCGCCGCCGCCGCCGCGGCCGCGGCGCCCGGTCTGTTCCGCCAAAGGTCGGGGGGCAAGGCCCGTGACGTCCCAGAGTGCTGGAAAACAGCATCCGATGCCAGGAAGTCGGCGGCGAGCGAGGGGGGGAAGGCCTTCTCAGAAGGCGGCGGGGCTTCTCAGAAGCCCTCGCGCCTTCTGCGAATTGGTCTTTCGGGGCAGGCTTTGAACACCTCTCAGAGGGCTAAAGGACGTCCGAGCCTCCTGAGAAGGCCCGCCCCCTGTCACTTCCCCCCCCCCCGCGCTGGCCGCCAAAATTTGGATGTCGAGGTGTATGGTGTTATGTTTGATGCCCTCCTGGAAGGCCAGGCGCCGGCCCCGGAGCTCCGACGGTCTCGCTCCTGGCTGTGCCGGCGCGTCCCTGCGAGTTCGGCCTCTGGTGGCCCCTCCGTGGCCCCATGCGCGTCAAAATGGGTCTGAAATGAATCAGGAGGGAAAGAAACACACAGACACAATTAATCGACGACTCCCAGGAAAATATGCAAAAATATGGGAAGTGGTGGGGAAGACAAAAACCCTGAAAATATGGGAAAGTATGGGGGATATTTTTATTTGTGTGTATTTATTTGTGTGTTCCAGTTCCCCTTCAATGAAACACTGGCCCCGGGGAAGGGCTCTCGGGGCGGGCGAAAAGGGGGGGATTGGGGAAGGGAGGGTCACGAAATCTGCTGCATGCAGATGGTTTCGGCCTCACCGAGGGGCCCAGTCCTCGATACATGGCCGCCTCCGGCGCCGGGGTGAGCTGATTCTCAAACCCCCCCTTTGCTATCCCCCCCCTTTCGCCCGACCCGAGGTTCGGGACCGCTGGGGCCGCGCCTTGAGCAAGTCCTGCCGCCTGCTGTCTGGGGCTCCAGTTCCGTGTCGTGTGCCGGCGCCGATCCGGGCAGGGGGCCATTTCTGGGCCAGGGGGGACTTCGAGGAACGATAAACACAGCACAAGCATACAATTTCCTAGCACCGCGCGGACCTCTGTGGTCGGTGTCAGGCCCCCTTGGCGGCGCCACCGGCGCCGCGCCTGGCGCGTTCCGTGCGCCCGGGAGGGGGGCCCAGCACCGATTCAAGTAATCCGCGCGGAGCTTGGGAAGTTCAAGTCTATACCACATTGCCTGTTTCCAGGACCGGCGTTATACAGTCAACCTTAGTTCAGACCCCCGGAGACCAGGACACAGATCGACCAGGACACGGAAAACCATGGAAACGATACCTTGTCCTGCAAAGTCACGTTTTTCAGCACCCGTGCATGTTTTGTTTGCTGCACTGCAGGATTCGGGTTTGTGTCCGGGTTTAGGGGTGTTTTGCAGGCTTTTGGGGCCTGTGTCCGGGTTGATTCTTGAAATGCTGCAGTGCAGTATTTTTTTTCGTGCCGCCGTTTGGAAAAATTGGTTTCGAGGGATGTTGGGTGTCGGGGTCAAGCGTGTCAGGGCCTAAGGAGGATCGATTTTCCTGACGGTGCCATTGCAGACGTGCCTCTTCGGTCATCTTCGGTCCATGCTCATCCACTTGCGTCGGCCAGCCCCGCTCGAGGAGCCTGGGCATGAGCGTCCGAGACCCGGCACCGATCCAATGAATTCGCGCAGAGCTGGGGTCGGGGGCGGAAAAGCGGGGGGGGGGATGACTAGGGGGGGGTGGATTCATGGCGGGGGCCATGATATCTCCCCAGATTTCATGGCGCCTCTTCTTATTTCATTACGTCCCTGGCCCCCCCGCTGGGCCGCGCACATGCCGCCAGTCATGATTTGCACACCCCCCTCTTGGAGACCCCCCTCTTGGCCGCTCCCGATGGGAAAGCTCATGTCTATTCCACTCTTCATGTGTCTAGGATCGGTGTTGTATGCCCTCTGCGTCTCGTCCAGAGTGCGCAGATGTTCCCGTCTGGGGGGGGCCAGGCGTGGCCTGGCCAGAATCACCGTCGGACGGAATCCAGGTGGCGTCCCCCCGGGCGTTTCCAGATCGGGCGCTGGCTCGGGGCACCACTGGGCAGGTGCAGCTGTGAATGGCCGACGTCGCGTGTGACGGTTGGTGGTCCTCCTCCTCTGGCTCCTCCTCCGCGGAGCATCAGGGGGAGGGGGAGGGAAGGAGAAGGGTCCTGAGTCCGATCAGAGGTCCTGGGGCGTTCTCGAGAAATTATATGGTGTCTGAGGGGTGTTCAGCCCCCCCACACACACACACACACACACACACACACACACACACACACACACACACACACACACACACACTTTTACGTCGGCGGCTAGGCAGGCGATGGGGCGTTGGTGGGATGCACAGAACGCGAAGTCGGCCGCCATGCGCGGGGGAGAGAGGAGGACGCCCGGCGCGAGCTGGAGGGAGAAGGACGCCGGGCCCGCTCAAAGCGGGGCCAGGCGGCGGCGTGAGGGGGCGCCGCGAGCGGGGACCAGCGGCAGCGAGGCGGCGGCTGGGGGTCAGACAGGGCAGAGCGGCCGCCGGAGGCAAGCGCCCAAGGAGGGGCGGGCCCAGCACGAGCTGGAGGCGGAAGCAGCGACAGCGAGGCAGCCAGGGGAGCCGAGGGCACGAGTGGCCTGCGAGGCAGCCCGGGGGGGCGGCGGCCAGCGCGGGACCACCTCCAGGAGAGGGGTCGGCCGGACGACCGGGCAAAGCGGCGGAGGCGCGGGGGGCACGGCCAGCGAGTGCCCAGCGGGGGAGAGGCGGGGTGCGGAGGACACGCGCCGCGGAGGCCGAAGTCGCGGAGGACTTGCAAGGCAGCCCCGAGGCGGCGCAAGCCAGACCCACCGGCCGGGGACGCCCAGACTGGGCACACACACACACACACAGGCACATAGGCACACGCACACCCACGCACACGCACACGCACACGCACACACGCACACCCACACACACACACACACACACACACGTTTCGGCGCGCACACATAGAGCGTCTAAAGCGCACACACATATAGATATAGAATTAAACACACAAGACTTGAAGCTCGCTGCGCTTCGCTTCAAAGTCTTGGCATGGTGCGCGAGTGCGCGGCGTGCGAATCGCCCAGAATCTGTCGGCTCCCGTCGGCGGGGGGCTGACCTGGGGTTGGAAAGTCGGAGGCGAAAGGACGCGGGACACCTGGGAGTGCGCTCGCGCCGAAGCCTGAGAGGGGAGGGGCGCGCGACACCGGTGAGCGATACGATGGGAGGGGCGGCAACGATGATGTTTCCATGGCTCCACGGGCCAGTGGCAGTGCACGCCCGAGCGCGCGCGCGGGGGGGGCACAAATGGCCTCTGTCTCGCACGATGACGATCGGCCCAGCGGTAGAAAGGAGGGTTGGGAAGGCCACGGGCGATGGAGGGAGGATGGGTCGGAAGTGATGGCGGCCGTGTTAACCTCACAAGCTCTGCGGAGAATGGCGCGCCCGATCGGGCGCGGGGGGAGACAGAGGGCTGGAAAGCCATCGGAGGTGTCGGGTGCAGGGGGGAGGGAAGGTCACGTTCTGATGAGGGGGGCCTTTCAGGGGTGGATGGCAGTAGCGGGGAAGCCGCTGTCGAGATGATCGTTGAGATGAATTGATGAATTGTTGACGCCGTTGGCGCGACCTGGGCTTGGCGCCCCACTGGCGACACGCCCATCGCATACCACCCCTGGGCGCTCAGACGGCATGTTGGACACGCAGCCCGCAGCTAACGTCCTCACGCTTCGTTTGGGTCTTGCCTCTCGGCACATCTCGAATTTACCAGCATTTTGCTGAGCTGCATGTGCCCGAGCTTCCTGGACGCCCTCAGCTCGCCGTTCCCCCCGCGCAGTCAGCCGCTGCTGGGTGAGTGGACCGGCCGGCTTGCGGCGCGTTTAGCTGCTAATTAGGCCGCTTTCGTGACCCGTAGCGTTTCTGACTCCGCTAGCGCCTTCGCTGGTGGACGTGACCGAAAAAGTATCTCCACCAGCCCGAGAGTGCTTGCACCCATCCGGCTCTGTTCTCCTGTCTGCTAGTTTGGCGGGACTGGGTTTTAGTTTTCAGGCGGTGCAGCCGTCTAATCTGACGCGTGAGCTGTGATTCTACAGCCCAGACATCGACGCTTCCTAGCGTGCAGGTTCAATTCACCTTGGTGCTCCATCTGGGTCTCCCACGTGTGCAGCTTGCAGCCCTAGCAGCTTGCTGTCCCCATCCTTCGCGCCCCAGCTCAACTTCAGCCAGCTGCCCACCCGGCTATAATTAGGCTCGCGCGTAGCCCGCCCGACCTTCGGATGCCGCCTGCGCTTTCGCTTGCGGCCGCGACAAAAAATATCTCCACCAGCTGTGTTTTTCTTTGTTTCGGCGCGGCCCGCCCAAGCTTTGCCCGGCTTGCGACTTCTTTCGCGAGCCCGCGTGCCAAACATATCCCCACCAACCCATCCAGAAACGATGCCCAGGGGAGTTGAGGTGATCAAGGAAGTGGGGGAGCATGCAGAAGAACCAAGGGCAAAGGAAACCGTTCGAACCCCCAAGAGGGGGATTATGGTGAAGGAGAAAAAGGAGGAAAATGAGGAGGAGGGCGAAGAGGAGGAAGGAGGACGAGACAGTGGACAAGAAGGAGGAGGAGGAGGAGGAGGAGGAGGAGGAGGAGGAGGAGAAGGAGCATCGTGGCGAGCCGATGGCCGTCTTTGAGCGTCTTGGGTGCCTCGGGGATCCTCTTGAAGCCTTTGGGGGCCTCGTGGGAGCCTCTTGGAGGCACCTTGGACGCCTCTCGGGGCCGTCTGGGCGCCTCGGGGGGAGCCTTAGGAGCGCTCTTGGGGCCATCGTGGAGGAGATCGATCAAAGAAGAGGGGTTCCCTAATTCCCCTTCCCACTCCCCCGGGAGCCCCAGGCGTCTCCTCTTGGGGCGCTTTTGGAGCGCTCTTGGGCACTCTTGGGGCCGTTTTGGGGCTCTCCTGGGTCTCACTTAGGGCCCTCATGGGCAGTCTTGGAGCCATCTTGAGGCCTCGGATGGCCATCAGAAGCGAAAAGACGAAAAAGCAAGAACCATTGATTTTCCTGTTTCGAAGGATTGTGGCTTCTTGGAGGCCTCCTTGGACGTTTCGGGGGCCTCTTGGAGCCGTCGTGGAGCGTTCTGGGGTCCTCTTGGAGCATATTGGGAGCCGACTTGAGGCACCTTGGACTAGCTTGAGCCATCTTGGAGCTCATGTTTGGGCTCTCTGAAGCCCTCTCGGAGCCATCTTGGGCGAACAGGTAACTACCCTCTGACACCTCGCGGGGCGCACCGTCCAATGCCATGGAAGGGGGTAGTGGGGAGGGGTAAACCCCTCCCCGAAGGGGAAGAAGGGGGTTGGAAGAGGAAACTCCCTTGCCCACCTACGCCCAGAGGGCTGGTGGGATTGAGATGTGGGTCGGCGTGGGGTGTAAGGAGTCGACAAGATGACGGGGGTCTCTAAGAAGGGGGGCGGTGCAACGTCTTGGGGGCTTCGTGCCGGCTTCTTGAGGCCTGCTAGGAGTCCCTGGGAGCCGTTTGGCGTTTCGATGATGATGAGGAGGAAGAGGAGGAGGAAGAGGAGGAGGAGTGGGAGGGGCGTCAGCATCGGGAGGAGGAGGCTGAGAAGGGGGAGGAGGAGGAGGAGGAGAGGAGGAGGAGGAGGAGGAGGAGGAGGAGGAGGCGGAGGAGGAGGAGGAGGAGGAGGAGGAGGAGGAGGAGGAGAGGAGAGGAGGAGGATGAGGAGGGGAGGAGGAGGAGGAGGAGGAGGAGGAGGAGGAGGAGGAGGAGGAGGAGGAGGAGGAATATTCGGGGGAAACGGAGGAGGAGGAGGAACAGAAGGAGGAGGATGTGGAGGTGAAGGGGAATGGGAGAGTGAGGGAGGATGGGGCATAGAAGGAAGAGAAGGGGAGATTGAGGAGGAGGAGTAGGAGGAGGAGGAGGAGGAGCAGGACGATGACGACGACGACGACGACGACGACGACGACGACGACGACGACGACGACGACGACGACGACGACGAGCGGGAGCAGGAGGAGGCGGAGGAGGAGGAGGAGGGGGAGGGGCGTCAGGAGGAGGAGGAGCAGGAGGGAATACAAGTCTCCTCGCTGAGGCAGCAAGCTCGACAGCGCGCGGCTGCGCGGAGTTCAACCGAGGGCGCAGCAGTAGTCCTCGCGCTTCGCGTCACCATCAAGACCACGACCGTGACGAAACATCACAGGGCGAACTAGAAATCACCTTGCCATATAGTATGTCAGCATCCAAGGTTCGAATGAGAGCCTCCATTGAACCTACCCCACGGGAGACACCCAGCGCCCCCCACCCCCACACCATTCTCTCACGCCTCTGCGATCAGGTTGAGCACCTGGTGGAGTGCGGGTGCATCAAGCCCATGGTGGACCTGCTCTCCGTCTCGGATGCCAAGATCATCGGGGTGGCGCTCGAGGCGGGTCGTCTCTCCCTCGGCGGCCGACTCTTCCCCCCGCCCTTCCCTCGGTGCTTTCCCCCGCGGAGGCGCGGAGACCGAGGGACGGCTGGGCAGTGCCAAGAGGGGAGGTCACCACGTTTGGGGGGGGTGACCGCCTCCTCCTTGAAACCGAGGATCGAGGAGGGATGGTCAGAGGAGGAAAAGGCACCCATACCCCTACGCTGTCCTGGCGTTCGCCTTTTCGGGCCTTCTGGGAGGCCCTCGTCGCCACCGCTGGATTCGCTTCGAAATCCTGGTCAGAACGCACCCTGGGACAGGTCTGGGGAGTAGCAGTATCGGCACCTTTCGGTTTCCCCAAATGGGGTATCGAGTCTCGATGAGGTCTTGGGCGTCTGGGTGTCCTGGGGGGGGGGCCCCGGGGGGTCGAAGGTGTGTTCGTGTCTCCTGGAGGAGACGGCGGTCCATTCAGCTCAGTGGTGACCCCCTTGGCGGTGCCTGTGGAAGGGGACGGAGGGATGGGAAGGGGACGCGCGGGCGGTTGAGGGGAAGGGCCCGCGCCCCCGGCGGCTAGATTTCATGAACATGCCGAGGCCTTTTCGGCCACGCACAGAGGGCTGTAGGCGGAGGTGGGAAGGCTTCTTGGGCCTTGTCTGTAGATGTCAGGCCGGCGCCTTCTAACAAACAGGGTTCCTTCAAGAAGCCTTCCCCCCTCCCCCTCCCCCTTGTACATTGGCAAGCGCACAAGCCTGTGCGCGCCGCCAACCGTTCGCGCCGTGAGCAAAAGCCTTTGCGGACATCTTCGGCCTCGGGGGGCCCTCACCAGGCCCGTCACAGGCGGTTCGGGGTGACAAGCTTGTCCCGGGAAGGAGTCCAGACCTCTGGAGAGCCACGCTCCGATCAGAGTCGCTACGTCGGAGCTTTGGACATGGGTTCCCAGGGCCGCCAGGTCTTGATGATCCCAGGGTGTCCCCGCTGCCTCCGCCAGGCCGCCCCTGCTTCTCTCGAGCTGCTGGCATACGGCGGGCGCGCTCGGACGACGCTGAGTCCCATCGGAGCCGAGGCGCTCCCTCTGGAGGGCCTCCCACTGGACGTAGCCTAAGGTCGCGCGTGTCCTCCTACAGGCGGATTTTGGACGAACAATTATTATTATTATTAGTATTATTATTATTATTATCATCATTATTATTAGTGGTATTAAGATTAGTATTATTATTATTATTAATTTTATTCTGAGTGTTATTATTATTGTTGTTGATATTATTAGTAGTAATATTATCAGAAGTAGTAGTAGTAGTAGGATTAGTAGTAGTAGTAGTAGTAGTAGTAGTAGGATTAGTAGTAGTAGTAGTAGTAGTAGTAGTAGTAGTAGTAGTAGTAGTAGTAGTAGTAGTAGTAGTAGTAGTAGTAGTAGTAGTAGTAGTAGTAGTAAGTAGTAGTAAGTAGTAGTAGTAGTTGTAGCAGTAGTAGTAGTAGTAGAAGTAGTAGTAGTAGTAGTAGTAGTAGTAGTAGTAGTAGGAGTAGGAGTAGGAGTAGGAGTAGGAGTAGGAGTAGGAGTAGGAGTAGGAGGAGGAGGAGGAAGAGGAGGAGGAGGAGGAGGAGTAGTAGTAGTAGTAGTAGTAGTATGATCAGTATCATTATTACTATTTTTATTATCAGTATTATTAATCATAATATCATTATTTTCATTATTAATAACATTAGTAGTAATACTATTATTAGTATTTTTCTTATTAATATCAGTATTATTAGTAGTATTAATAGTTTCATAAATGAATATGCAGATGTATGTAATATTCAAAGATCGCCAACAAAATACTCATAACATCGTCCACTGGCCATGTTTTACTATGTTTGAATACTCCTCCTGCAGAGAGACGTGCCCGACCTACACGTGGCCTCGTCTTGGGCGGCACGGGCCCAGCAGGAGCCAAGGCTCTCCTTCTCTGCTGGGACTCCAGGCGGACTTGGCCTCCACGGGGGCGACGCTGAGTCCAGTCGGAGAAGTTCCAGTTGAAGCCAAGGGGTTCCATCTGGAGGTGGAAGGTTTCTCCGAAGGGCGTAGGCGACCCGTCCTCCTCCTCCTCGTCCTCCTCCTCCTCCTCATCATCATCATCACCTCGCTCCTCCTCCTCCTCCTCCTCGTCCTCCTCCTCCTCCTCCTCCTCCATCTCCTCCCCCTCCACCACCTCCACCTCCTCCTCCTCCTCGGGTCGCCTACGCCCCCGGGGGAAACGGTGCACATCTGGAGGACCTCCAATTGGACGCAGTCTTTCAGGACGATAAGTCCAGTTGGAGCAAGTCCAGCTGGAGCCAAGGCGCTCGACCTGCTGTGACTACAGTTGCACTTCAGCCTTCGGCAGGGCGACGGTGAGTCCAGTTGGAGCAAGTCCAGTTGGAGCCAAGGGGCTCCATCTGGAGAGCCTTCGACTGGACGTAGCCTCCCCTAGGGCGACGCTACGTCCAGTTGGAGCGCGTCCAGCTGGAACCAAGGCGCTCCACCTGCTGTGGCTGCAGCTGCACTTCGCCTCTCCCTGGGCGCGAAGTGGTGCGAAGCGGAGGCTTCGCAGGGCCATCGTCTCCGCCTCCTCCCCGCCCCACTGCGGATCCGATCCTCGGCCAACCAGCGAGGCCGCCGCGCGCTGCCGAGGGGCGGAGTCTGCGATGCCAGGCTCCTGGGCCCCCGGGCGCCCATGGGGTGGGGGCAGCGTGGCCGTGGATTCCCCAACGATGGGAGCAGAGGCCCCTGCCCGGATGCCGCCTGGGGTGGAGCGGGACCGAGGTGCGGTCTGGGAGCGCCTGGGAGCGCTCGGGAGCGGCTGGGAGCGCCTGGGAGCGCCTGGGAGCGCTTGCGAAACAGGAGCGTTCGCTTCGGCACGTCGCGCCGCCAGTTCTGGCCTGGCCACCGCGCCTCGTCGTGACGCGCTGACCACGTTCCTGCCACCGGGGGATCAGTGTCCCAAGCGTTCCCCGGCCTCCCGCCGCGCGGAACGGAGCGGCACGCTGTCCGCTTGCAGGGCACGGCGCGTCTCCGGGGCCGCCGCCGCACACGCCAAGCGAGAGTTCCCGACCGCA